ACTCACCAGGACAGGTTGAGCTTCTCCTCTCCTGTTCTGCCGTGAGTACTCACCAGGACAGGTTGAGCTTCTCCTCTCCTGTTCTGCCGTGAGTATTCACTGGGACAGGCTGAGTTTCTCCTATCCTGTTCTGCCGTGAGTATTCACCGGGACAGGCTGAGTTTCTCCTCTCCTGCCCTGCTGTAAGTATTCACCGGGACTGGGACCAGGGCTGAGTCTTTAGGCCTCGCTCTTTTCTATTTTAGTCTGTATTCTGCTGTTCAAAGCAGTGTTTTTGTTTTCCGGTGTTCAAAGTAGTTATTTTTTTTAGTCCAGTCTGGACCCTGCTGTCAAAAGCAGCTCTTCCATTTTTTTAAAAAACCTTTCAAGCTGACCTCATGCAAGTGCCTCCTCAAACAGGGCATCAAATTTTACTGGTGTTCGCTGCGGTTCCTTCAAATCCGCATTGTTACAACTCGTAAAAGAGCTGTGAAAATGTCTTGCATTGACTTAAGTGTTTGGAGTTTGTAGACTGAAAACCAAAGACATTTGTGTGAAAGAAAAGCAGAAACTGAAAGAAAAGACTCAATCAGAATGATAGAACATATGAAATCCGGAACCTGCAGAATGCAGTGGTGAAACTGGCAAAATTTGCAGTTTGCTTATAATAATAAGCAGAATTACAAAGGCTACATCCCAAGATATAAACCTGGTCAGTACAAAGAATGATTATAATTTGTTCAGATGTACGAATATGAGCCATGAGAGTTTTGGCAAAATGAGACAAAAATAAACCCTGACAATTGATGGAAAATTTAACTATGAAAGAAAGGATTAGCTAATGCTTAAAAGAATGCCACCTCACTGATGAAGAATGATCTTGCCTGGCTAATGGTATAGATGAGATCAACCCAGAAGACTTCTTCAGAACGAACACCGAAACATGAACCAGATGGCACAAGTTGAAACTACTGTATGTGAGAGTACTGTACAAAAAAGTAGGTACAATCATAAAGGGTTGTAGGAGTATAAAATAAGATGCCTTGCTGAAGGTTGTTGAAGCCCATATCCTGGACATGATACCCCGGAAAGGGCTGAAAGGAATCCTTACATCAATAAGCTAATATTAAATAGGGATGTTGGGTAGAATGGCCTCCTCACATTAGTAACCTTTATGTTCTATGGCCCTCTCTGGAACTGGCTCGCTCTATCTTTATTCAAGATGTAACTAATTATGTCAGCAGCAGAATAAATTATGAAGCTTAAATAAACATTTTACTAATGTAGAAGAAAATAGTTCTATAAGTGTTCACGTCCCCCAGCATCATCACAGTCTATATGAATAATGCAATCAAGTTAAACAGGAAAAGAAAGTGGAAACTTTTAGATGGGCCAGATCAATCTCCAGATTTAAATATAATGGAGCATGCATTGTAGCTGAAGAACTGAAGACTGAACACCTCAAGAATAGGCAAATGCAGCAAAGGCTTGGCTAAGCATCTTAAACTGTTACAGAGTTTGGTGCACTCAATTGATCACAGACTTCCTGCAATTAATAATAATTAATAATAATAGCTTACACTTATATACCGCCTTTTCTGGACACTCCACTCAAAGCGCTTTACAGGTAATGGGGACTCCCCTCCACCACCACCAATGTGTAGCCCCACCTGGATGATGTGATGGGAGCCATAGTGTGCCAGAACGCTCATCACACATCAGCTAAAGTGCAATCAAATACTGAGTTTCCAATTCTGAAATTGACTTAAAATGAATGTGTTCCAATATTTATAGTCACTGAAATCACTGGGTTGAACACAAGTAAAGTTTTTTTTCATTTGATCAAAAGCATGCATGAAATTATCCTAAAATGAAAAGTAATTATATTGTACTGTACTTATACATATTAATTTCATGCTTATTAATAAAAGCTACCCAACTTTTTTCTTTTTTTTTTCTACAGAAAAAGAGTTTATGTCCAGGAAAAATAGGTTTTTGACTTTGCTTTCTCAGTACCTTCGGAACTGCATTTAAGTCTATAAAACTGATAAATAAGGAATTAGAAAAGATCAGTAGGAAGTCTGATCAATACAGTACAACAATTACTTGAACCTAAGCTGCACATTTTAGAAGGCATGGCAACAACAGTGGTCTTAAAAGTGTAAGTGGTCACCACTTTTATTTAAGAAATTACAAGCAAATCACATTCAATGTTACAGGTTTGTAGCGTTGTAGTTTTGAAATAGTATAAAAAAGAAAAATGAAGCAGCATTCTAATTTCTTTGAATTAGAATGTTTCGCTAGCAAAAATATTCGCAGCATATTCTTTGGTCAGCCACAGGAAATAAATGCAGCAGTTGACTAGACTGTGGAACACATATTGAACATTATATATGTTTTTTCTTTGGAAAGTCCCCTTCTCACACTAGCATTAGCCGTGAATGTGGTTTTCAATCACTTGGGGATACAGAGCATGTTGAACTTATTCAGCATGGGGTCAAATATCTTCGAGGAAAACAGCGGATTAATGCTATTTGGCATTTGGTATGTGGTCTCTCTCTTAAATGGTTGTGGTGGAAGAATGCTCAAGTACTGACCAATCATATTCATAAAAAGCTCTTGGAAATGGAACTTTAGTCTGGAATGAATAAAGGTTGGTGCTGCATCCGTTTTACAAAACAACCACATTTTAGACTGATTGTCTACAATTGGCAAATGATTCCCCAGTAGAGACCATAGATTTTATGTGCAATATAAATAGATACTTTATGTCATTTTTGCCTTTGTGAAAAGCATGTTCCATAGTACACTCTTGACAAGGATTGTCCATTTTCCCTGAGCTGTTGTGTGAATTTAGAAACTTGATTGTGTTTAAACAGAAAACCAGGTTCTCTCTTTTCTGGGTTAAAAATTAGGCCCTTTTAAGATTACATAACTTTATTTTTCCATGAAAAAGACTAGTCAATATAAATTTCCCATTTGCGGTTTAATGTATGGCATATTCAATCTAAGCTTGTTTCCACTTTCCTTGAAAGTGACAATTTTCTTAATAACTGACAGAGACACTACTAGCATGGCTTGCCACTTAAATCTCTAGCCCAGCTAAGCCACTCTTTACCCTTAAGATAAACCTTTCCATATTTTTGGCTAGCCACACAGAAAGAGGAAGTCAGAGTGTTTGCTGACATGTCTTTTCTGGTTTTGGCATAAACGTCTGATCATGTCTCTTATTCCAGACGTTTGAGTCTGCTTGGGTGGTGGTTTAACTAAAACACGAAGGACTGAGTTTGGCCATGTTCCAAAGCTCAGAGACTGCAGCTAAACCCCCCTTGTGGTCTGTAGGATAGAATTATTGGTCCCACATTTTCTTTTCTTTTTCTCCAGGCACACACTCAATTTGTAACTCTTTCAATGTAAGGTTTCTGGGATTTCTTAAGTTGGAGATGTAGTACAGACACATACTGTACTGTATATATGTGTTTATATAAAGGCTCTTGAAGTCCATAACAGCTTTGCCTTTGGGTTGTACAAAACAGATTGGTTTAATTAAACATATTAATGCACAGTACAGGGACAATATCTCTTCAAATAATTCTGTACACTATTCTTAAATGTGCAAATATCGTACTGTAAAATGAGGCTGCTTCAGTGACTTCAGTGACACCTCTTAAGTTGCTCAAGACTCTTCTAATTCCCTGCAGTCTGGAACCAGTCTTTTGGCAATGTGACATCTGACATGTCTGAACATTGCACCTGGCCATACTAAGATGTGTCTGATGGGGACTCCAACCCAGTCTCCAGCTATGCATGCTATTACATGTTACTACATGCTAAACACTAGAAAATTCAGTTTGTTTAAACAAACACAAGTCCATTGACAACAAATACCTGTATGTACTTACTTGCAAAAGGGGCCTTCCTTGCCAACATAACACGTTCCTTCATTGATACAGTAATTAATTGGGCATTCTATAAATAAAGAAAAGCATGTTAATCCCATAACTAAAATAATTTTTATTTTATTATTACAAATATATTTTTAATTTTACAATAAAGATGGGGGGCACAACATTTCAAGAAAGGAAGAAAAAAAGACCCAAACAGACCTGAAAGTAAGTGTATGCAACAACATTCCTGTCTCTATTCTCCCTAAAGTTTCACTGCAGTCTTGTAAAATGTTTAGGGTAAAAACTCTGTTTAAAACGAATCCCTTAGCCTCTCAAACATGTTATCAAACATTTCAGGATTAGGGACTCCACTTGAATGGAACATGATCACTGTAATGACTGATGTCTGCAGTAAAGGGTCACAGCATTGTACAGTTTCAAGTAAAGCAGTATACTAACTAGTACAACAGTTTTCAAAATGGTGAAAATAAAGTGCTTTCTTTTTTAATTTCCATGTCATTGTGAACATTAAAGTGTAAATGAGTATCACAGAAAGGAGATATACCAACTGTCAAGACATACAGTTTTAACTGTCTGGGAGTCCTGTTTGTGTGATTACAATGAAGTCTTATAATTCCACCTGCTTAAATTCTGTGAGGGCTTATTATGCCAACTGTCCATAAGGACCAATGAGCCAGGAAGAATAAGCTTAGTGCTGACAACTGTGGTATTTGTTTTTCTTTATAGTGATTTATGTCAGATGTATACAGCGTCCCAGTGGACATCATAACACATATTTCTATTCCAGTAATCCAACAACCTCAATAAAAAGGTAAAAAAGGGTTAATGGCAAATAATGGCTTAATTGGCAATTCTTAATTCTTCTGTAATAATAGTGCTTTTCTTTTTCTAATCACTCTTATAGAATAAAATGCAAATCACCTTCCCTGTAATGTTTCTAAGATACAGTAGCTAATTTTGCAACCATTAGAACATAGTGCTGTACAATCCCTGAAACAAGTGTTTATTCTCTACAAAGTCAACAAAAAGGGTGCTAACATGCACAAATACAGTATTTAAATGTTTTTGACAAGTCGAGGTAATGTTTTTTAAAACTGTTTTTAAGAAAAAGACCATTTTGATACAGGTCTGCATGACTTAGAAGTAAGAAAAATCATTATCCTAGCCTGTACACAACCAAGAAAACTGCTCAGGTTACTCATCCACTTCATGTGGTCTCAGGTAATGCCATGAATGATGATCTAAAAAAAACAAGAAGAATTGTCTTCTAATTTTAAGGGAATGCTGTCTCTCACCATTGCAGCTGGATTCGTCAGGCTGGAAGAGAACACAGTTGATGGAGCCGTCACAGCGCAGGGTTGAAGGCAGGCAGCTCCCCGTGTCTTCACAGAGCAGAGAGCCATTCAGACACAGCTTCACGGCTGCAGAGAAGCAACACAAGGTACAAATAATCACCCCTGATAACAAGAGCGCGCTATCTATAACTGTATTGAGCTTGAGTCTTCACCAAAATCAACAACTATGCCAGCTCCTTTGCCATATTCAACAAACTGACCAAAACAAAACTAATAAATAATAATACAATCCTTACACTTATATAGCACTTTTCTGGACACTCCACTCAAAGCACTTTATAGGTAATGGGTACTCCCCTCCACCACCACGAATGTGCTCACTATGCATCAGCTATCAGTGGAGAGGAGAGCAGAGTAATGAAGCCAGTTCATAGATGGGGATTATTATTAGGACGTCAAGCTTGATAAAGGCCAATGGGAACTTTGCCCAGGACGCCAGAGTTACACCGCTACTCTTTTCTAAAAACTCTTTGGGATTTTTAAGGACCACAGAGAGTTACAGAGAGTTGTCCCCATCACTATACTGGGGCATTAGGACCCATGTAGACCAGGGTGAGCGCCCCCTGCTGACCCCACTAACACTTCTTCCAGCAACAACTTTAGTTTTTCCCAGGAGTTCTCCAATCCAGGTACTGCCCAGGCTCACTGCCCAGGCTCACACTTGCTGAGCTTCAATGAGTTGCTAGTTGTGAGTTGCAGAGTGATATGGCTGCTGGCATACAATTGCAGTCTCAGTTTATTAGTGTTATTTTTCATGTTATGTAAGGATTGGTGCAAGTGTAAAATACTTTAAAACATTTTAGAAATGAAAGTAATTTTATGAAATAGTACAATAAAATACGCTCGGGAGTGATGCCACTGAATGTGAACTGGAAAACTGTATATCAGATACCATTTAAGGAGGTTTTAACAAAAGTTTGGAGATATAATGGAAAACAAGTTCCCCTTGTAATCTTTTATGTTGTCACTTTCTGAAATGAAATGCTAAAGACAATCACAATATGCCCCTTTCTTCCACACATTTCTTTTTCCTTGGCATCCCTCAGCTAGCCGATCTCCACCTTTGCAGCCATCCCTTAGTTAATTTTACTCTATGTGGGAGTCCTACTTTCCTCTTCCAACAGCCTATAGTTGCCCAATTTTTTAAAACAAAAATGGATAATGCATTTTGTGATTGGATGTCATTATTTGTCATGAAATCAGCAAGATTGGAATTTTAAACCATTTTAAACGTCCAATAAGGAATAAAGTTGCTACTTGTTCAAACTACGGTATGCACTGTCACTGACTGATGGCAAAAGGAAAGGGCTGCCTCATCCAAGTGCTCATTGTGTAGAGACAGGAGACAGGATCTGCAACTGAAGTTTATAGTATATATAAGAGTTCATAGTATACTGTACCTCTCAACCCTGCAAATTTTATTGATATGTAAAACAGGTGTAAAACCTCATGGTCATAATAGTCAAAGTAACTTAGTAAAGAATATTTCCTGAGTTATTGCCGGACTCTGGAGTTCAATTTTAACTTGCTTGAAGGGGTTTTGTCTGCACCATCTTTAAAATCTATCTAGAGAATCTACATTACTTGTACATGCTTGATTGATGCTGCATTCAGCATGTAATTTAAACTAGGGATTGGACTCTTATTTACCAATTTAATTATGTGCATGCCATATGGATGGAGCTTTGGGATATTAACTGAAAGAAACCATGAAAAGGTAATTTGTATGACTATTATCATCAATGCATGCTTTTATCTTTTTCTATTAGATTTTGTTCTGCTGAAATTACAAAGCATCTGAATGGATTTCTTTCATTTTAAGATTATCTTTCATTCATAATAGCTGTTTTACACTGTGCTTTTGATTTTTTGAAAAAGTATCCAAGACAAAAACACGAATCATATTTGTGTAAGCTCTCTTCCCATTTTATATTGTAAAAGATTTACACATACATGTTTCTACCACAGAATAAGAAAGTCTTCTTCACATGCTATGGTTCTAAACACTATTACTAACAATAGTAATACTTCAATACTATAACACCAGGACTGCAAGTCCCACTCTGCAGTTTAAACACAGGAAGGAATCTCAATCTATTGACTCAATCTAATTTCTGGGAGAATTCCATAATCTACAATTTTCCATGTTGGTACAGATGTATGGAAATGATCATTAAACTAATTAAATATAAACAATAAATATTGCCAAGAAGCTAATAAATAATTGCATTCCACATTTAACTTATAATACTTAAAGATTTACACCTGCAACTGCATACAAGTAATGTATGCTGAGGCTGCTTTCACAGCCATACAACTCTCAGTACACCTAAAGACAGCTCCCTTTATTCCATATTTCTCTCCTATTATGATACTGTTGGACTAGAATCCCTTCCTCTATCTGCAGTCAGTATTGTGTAGTGTTCTCGTGATCCAAATGGCTGCTGTGGTAAACCCTGACCCAATCGCTAACCTTCACTTAAAATTGTTGGTCCCCAGGTTATTCTGTATAAGATTGTTGAGATTTGGCATTCTAATAAAAAGTATCAATATAATGAGGGTGTCCATTCATTCACCTGTTTTTTTAGTTGACGTTTAGAAAGAAACCCCCCTTTTACAGACACTGTATGTACGGTATATTTTCTCTAAAATTACATTAATACTCATAAAATATTGCAAGGTTATCTAAAACCTTCAACTTAAAATGACTTGATGAAAAATTAGTTCAACTGGCCGATGGATGAAACTAAATGAGTAAATTACTTGTTCGCATTCTAAAATTATTTATTTATTCTGATAATTGCTAAAGTCCAGAGAAACAGTTTGTTATTTCTTGGCCATAAAGGTTAAATTTGTGCTGTATCTAAGTTTACACTTTTCATCAGTGAATACAAGTATAAATTCATTCTTTAAAATACTGTGTTGTGTGATTTTACTCATGCTTTCTTTTGGTTATCTGTCTGCAACGCACAAATTAGCTTTTCATTTAACGGCCCTCAGCCTCTCCATTGTTTCTGCCCATTTCATTAATAAATAGTTAGGATAATTACTGTTTTGGTCACCACCTGCTGCCAGATTTATTTTAGGAACTAGAATTATCAAAATTGAATTATTGTGGCACAAAGCCAGCTGTTCTTTACTTCTCAGTTATAGACATTTTGGTTCTGCTGGTTTACATAAAAATAACTTGTTTAAAAATAAACTATTCATGCTGAGAGAGGGTGCACGGTGGGAATTTGCCTTGATCACCATCTGCCACCTGCTTTATATTGTTTTTCTCCTTGCATTGTAGTTAATTTTCTTTATGTCACAAAACATCATTTGTTTTTGTTTACTGTGGGTTCCAGACTACTTTAAAGTGTTCCCTCCATTATATTGTTAGAACAAATGGTTAAGTCAGGAGGAAAATACCTTTGAAACAGCAAACATAAAATTATCTCACACCATCTGCTACACATGCTGCTATCCTTATTATTGTTGAATAGCAAAATGCAACATGTTCAGGAATGCTGTTCTAAAATCTTAAGTCTCATGCTTGATACTATCAATTTTATGGATTTAATGTGTAATGTGCAAATGAGTATAGTGGTTTATGGAAACAAAAATAGCTATGTGTAAAAACAATCCAAATAATTGTTTTGTTTTAGAATGTAATTATAAATTCCCTATGCTGATTGTACTGTATATTAGAATACTGTACACTGTTTACCATTTAATACAGTATATGTTGAAAACTATTTCATTTTGCAACAGCATTTACTCAGTCACAAACTGTAGACACCCTTTAGTTTTGAGGAACCAAATTACAAGAAGTGAAATATTATAACACAATGTCAGCTATTTGAATTCCTCAATTCTTATAAAATGTCATAGAAAAAAAAATCTCAAATACAGCTAGGTGACAACACACAGTTTCAGTTATGCTGGCTTGAATTTTAAAGGTAATCATGTTTTCAAAGAAGCAGATGATGATGTGAGCAAACCATACCTGGAAGAGGTTGCATGTATGGCAATCATATGTGAAATAAGTTAATATGTGAATATCAAAGATATGACAGGTAATTTAAGGCAACTGGTAGGAGAAATTGTTTGTAACCATAACTGGAAGTTGACACTATGCCAGAGAAGCCCCAATACTTTCCTGAGAGCAGCCTTGCACTTCCTTAGAGTTGATCCCAAGTGAAGATAACGGTATCTCACTGTGACATCCATTACACATTAAAAAGAAACTCTCAAAAATCAATTGTGGTCCTCTAGTGTGTCTATTTCTTTGGGTTGGATATTCCATAAAGAATAAAGAAGTGACTACTGTACATGTTGCATTTGTGAATACAAACATACAGTATCTGGACCTGCTGCATGAAGTGACTGTACTGAAAAATAGAAATAAGCTTACAGTACAGTTCTGTGGTGAATGTTTACAATAATTTACAGAACTTCACCAAAAAGCTGGCTTGCTCTGTCTCTCACATCAGACAAGGGTATTGTATGACCAGAAGAGTCGTTGACACTCACAGGAAGGGACGGAGATTGGTTAATGATGTTGCTGTGGATGCATGCTGGGCAGTTCATGCACTTCAAAGTCCTCCTGTTTGAGTGCCAGCTACAACCAGGTCATCTTGAGATAATGTGTCCTGGGTCTCTGAGAGAATTAAAACCTCTTCTTTCAACAGCACACCCTGCCTCATCTTATGGCACGCTTTATCTCAGACTGGGCTAAAAATAACTTACATGGAGCCTCAGCCTTAGTCAGTTTATAAAAATGTTTTAATATTAAACCATAAAAAATGAATGATGTGCTTACCACTGCCAAAGACAACAATGTAGTTAGTATTCAAACATTTTCAAAACTACAGTCTTTTTGTCACCAAACTCTTTTTACAGTAAAATGAAGAGCAAATATTTTACCCAATAGTTCAGGTACACTTTTTTTTTCTGAGACACTGTTGTCATTTTCTGGCAGATTCTCATTAAAATCTTATCTCTATGTAGGGTGGAGTACTAACTCTGGTGTATTAATGACGGCCATCACAGGCCTTCACAACGTGTGGTTCTGCCTCCATCTTTCATGAAAGACACTTAAGATGTCTCCCTCTCAATCTCTGTACAATATCCTTGTAATGTTTCCATTTAGTGGTTTAAACAAGATATTCTAAAGTGTTGTGCACCGATACATTTTTTGTGTATGAAATCCTTTTGTATAGGAAGGATTGCCATCCACAGGTTGTTTGACCTATTTTTGTTTAAGCAGTGAAATCTGATGTCACTCTATTTAAATTTAAATCAAAAGAAGCAAAATACAAACTGGAAAAGGTGTGCCATGTGTAGAAACAGGCGTGTAGATATGTGGACGCCATACTTTTTCAACTATAAAATATATTCTGAGCTACCTGTTTTATCTTTTATTTGTAAGCTTGTTTACTGCACCTTTCCATGATCTTTAAACAAATATGACCAAAAAACAAAAATATGACGAAATGTCATGATAGATTGATAGATCACAACAGTCCTGGATCTCTTATCCAAATTGTCACATGTCATACATACAAACTCAGGTGTGTCAGAGACTACAGATTCTTCAAGGCAATGTCATCCATCCACTTTCCACTCAAAGTGGCTCAGAGTTCTGGTGGCCACTTCAACCAATTCAGGGTCAAGGGGGAGACAGAGCCTTTCCCAGCCAGCGGCAGCCCCCGTGCTTTAGGTAGCAATGCTAACCACAGCGCATACCAAGCTACCCTCTGTTCTCGAACTGTTCTCGAATTAATTCTAAATACGCAAGTTATTTTAACAGTGTAAATTATAATACTTCTGTAATATTTCTTCTTTTGTTCAGTGTACACTTTGAAGACACCAGAGGAGACTCATGCTACAGGTGGAAGGAGTAAAGCATTTGTAGAATAACTGTCATGATTGTAATCCCTCCCCTTAAGGGCGCTCCAGCTCTTCCACATTTTAGTTGATTTTGTGTACCTGCTCCCTGTTCCAGCCTCCCTACAGAAGCCAGACACTCTCTCTGTTCTGAGCTCTGCATTGGAAGATGATCACCCCACATCCACGGCTTGGGGGCATAGGCCTCCTATCAGCGTCCCAAACCAGCTAGGTCCGGGATTTGGAGCGCCTGGTCCTGTTACCCCATTTATCTCCCCCACCCTTCACCGGATCCCGCTCCGGTTTTTAACTTTGTCATGTCTGTCTTGGATTGGATCACCCGGCTCTGGACTTTTGCCTGCTCTGGATTTCCCTTCGGAGTCCCCTAGGACTGTTTGCCTGGACCATGCTCCCCCGAGCACCTGCGCACCTTCGTCACGCCCCCCTGTTCGTCTACCAGCCCAGTTCCTTCGTCTCCTCCTCGTGTCTCTTCACTTCCTTCTGGATTCTGCTGTCTGCATAGGGTAACAATAACTATGCATGCACTTATCTGTTCAATCATCTGTTTCGTTACTTCCCATGTTTAACCTGCAGCACGCAAGTATATAAGGTAAATATGCAACACCTTCCTCCCCCTCCTTTATATGCACAGTCGGTCCAAGACACTTACGGCAGCTGAACTCGTCTTCCCCCCAAGGGCAGTCGGGGACACCGTCACAGCGAAGCAGAGATGGGATGCACTGCTGATCGCTGCACTGGTACTGGCGGTCTCCACACAGTTCCTGGGGTGGCACGGTGCCAGGCACTCCTGATGGACAGACCTCCTCATCGGACATGTCCTTGCAGTCGGGCTCCCCATCGCAGAGCCAGCTCTCAGGAATGCACTCGTGCACATGGAGGCACTCGAAGGAGCCTGATCTGCATGTGGGGGGCTGAGGGATGATCGGCCCTTTATTTAAAAAGAGATAAAACAGCAACAAAAGCAACATCGGTATTTCAGGGAGCTGCACAATTGCAAGGTTGGCGTAAATATACAGTATTACCACAACAAACATGTTAAAAAATGTTACTGTTTTTACTGAATGTGGGTAATTGTCAGTAACAGAATTAACATACATTGAGTTGCTTAATAATATTCATTCTAATACATTCTAATTTCATTAAGAAAAATGATGTTATTGCTTCTTTCAGGTTTTAAAAAAACTTTAAGACAATGTTTACCACAGCACAGCAGACTGCTTCTGGCAATTTTATATGACATGTTTTAAGAGGAAGAATACAGTATGTGCTTTTTAAGTCCATATAAAAAACCACCCAACCATGCAAAAAAAAAACCAAAACAACAACAACAACTAAAACTTGTCTTAGTCTGTTGGTTGAAGCATTAGAAACCCACAGGGCATTTTTTGACATTTAATGATAGTCCTGGTGGAAACTAATTACATTTATATGGCTACTGTTTTGTGCCTCAATAAAAATTGTGCAGGTAGAGTTGGCTGGAGGTTTCCACTTGTCTCTTCAATGAATTTATGTGGGCTCAATAGAAAAGCAAATAAATTGTATTTCATTCTTATATTTCCTGAGTGTAACTTTAAGGCATTTAAACACAATTTTTAAGGGTTTTTTGAGAAATGTGTTTGTCTGCTTTTCTCTGTTTCTATTACTAGCAGGTTCAAAGTGGCCCAGAGCTCTGGTGGCCAGGTCTAGACAATCCATTTTGTTGCTTTCCTTTTTGAGTACTGATTTCACAGCAACAAAGTGCTGAGTCCTTGATTGTATTCTAGGAAAAAACGGAACTAATGAAAAATGTTTTTTTTATTATTCATTGTTGATGGATAATAAGCATATGCCAGATTTGATGGACAAGTAAATGTCCATAAATACAAAATTTCTCGTCAATTATTTATTGTAAAAATCTAAGACAAAATGGCCTTATAAGTATCTCGACTAGTTTATTTCAAATGCAGGTTGGGTCCTACAGCTTCAGGGAACAAAGACGGAGAACTGGTAGGGATGGTTGTGTCAGTGAATCTATGCAACACCTACTGTATGTGACTTGCTGGGGGCCTGTGAGCTTACACTGTTCCATTCAATGGTAACTTTTCTGACAAACGCTCTGAATCCTACAGTGTGTAAAACTGCAAGTGGCTCTGAAAGCTATTATTTGTTAATATTGGCAATATTTCATAATATCATTTTATTTTTTCTATATTAGCTTCTAGGTGGATTTGCCTTTAAATGCAGGAAAGTGAGTCACAGAATTCTTTAATTATTTATGCTAATACTAACTGTATTTAATCTAAGCATTTAAAGTAAATTTGAATAATAGCCGAGGAGAAGTTTAAATGGATTTTTTGTTCCTTTTTGAACACTAGCAAGGTAGAGGTGACAAGGCTGAATGGATTAAATCTGAGAACGCCAGTGAAAGCAGAATACAAATTGCAGTTTCTTTTCCTTCTTTCAAACCTGGCCAGATTCCAGGCTGCAGTACAGAACATATAAATTCACAGCTTCATTTTGGTGCAATTGCCTAATGTTAAAGAAATAGAAGAACAAAGTATAGTTAAGATCATTAATTACAATACCTCCAACTGTACATTCCGGGGTGAAGGAAATATCGTCCAGTGCAATATCAGTTAGGCTATCTCCACCAATCTCTGCTTCAAAGGCCACTTGAAAAGGTTGGTTGTTGGATAGTATCACATTGGCATAATTCCATTTGTTCCCTTGGTTTCCAATCACAGACCACATTAACAGACTTATCCCATTGGATCCAACAGTATAAACCTATGAAGATTAAAATAATGATTGATTTCTTTGAAAGACCTAAAACATTTTTTATGTGTAATAATACGAATGAAAACAGCATAAGTAATAATAAAAAATAAAAAATCTCAGCACTTCACAGTTCAGATTAATCTGCTATTAATTTAAATAAATCATAAACAGATAAAAATCAAAAGATTACATTTTTGTTAAACTGTGGAACACCATGTTAGACAGACAGTTTAATCTATTACTATACTATGGAATATATTCAATTAAAAGTTTTTCTTTATGTGAATCTTATACGCATTTATAATCTTGATATTTAAAATATGTTATTTAGAAGTTCGAATTTTAAACACATTTACTAGCCATGAATTGCAGTTGTAAAGACCAAAATTAATTAATAGCTTATAAAGTTCAAACACTTAACAGGTTTTTCAGTGAGCATTTTTTATTCTCACCATTGTGCACAGTATTTCATATGCAATTAATAAGATATATTTTTTAAATAATATATTATAGAATAATATTTTATAATTAGTTAAATAGCTATAGCACATTCTAAACCTTGCAGTCAGGAACTAAAGTAATAAATCACACATTTAATAACATAGAAACAGAACCAGTTGCAGCAGGCTATTGTTCAGATCAGAACTTATCTGAGACCTGTTAACCAAGTGACCTCAATACTGTGTTGCCATTTCTTAAAGAATCCCAGTTTACTGGTTTAAATTACATAACATAACAAAGCCCAACTGTTATTTTATCAGTTTGACATTTCCATTTTGCAACAAAGCATCCAATTAATTTATGGCATTCTGTAGGAAGATGTACAGTAATATGGAAAATGGATATACTCCTGTCAACATTAGGAAGAATTCAATCAAGTCTCTTTAATTAGTTACATTTCTTCTAATCTGTTATTACAGTTACTGTCTTAAACTGGCTTTTTTTCATCCCTTCACCCATATGCTGGGTGTTTAGAGTGGTTTACAAAAGTATTCTCACTCTTAAATATTTTCCACATTTCCATAAATTATCCAGTCATGACATTGTCAAATAGAAGTTCATACTGACAGTATTCCAAATGTACTTTAAAACTGATAAAAATAAAAAAATGTTGAAAGTATGCATTTAAATTAAAATTGTGAGATTTTCAATTGAATCAGTATTCATCTCCTTTACTACAGTGATAAGTCAGATGCAAAAGAATGTTTGGAAAGGTCATACAATTAATGCACTGTAATTGTCTCAGTACTGGTGTGTAATCAAAGTGGATTTACTTGACTTCAGAGTAAATGCAACTGTCTCATTAGGTTCCCTCAAACAGATATTGAATTTCAAGCAACAACTCAGTGATTTGTAGTGATATAGCAAATCGACCATGAAAACCAAGGAGCTTTCAAAACAAATCAGGGATAAAGTGAGATAAAAGCATGTTCCAGAGAAGTCCTTGTGACTACAGTGTAGTTCATAATAAAGAAGTGGAATGTGCATCATATTACCCAGACATAGATCGGGCTACCCTTCCAAAGTGAGAAGATGTAGGAAACTGATGAGGGTGACTTTGAATATCCGAGATGGAAGTTATGGAAGTTCATACTGTCCTTTACATTGCCTTTATCCTATGAATTAGGAAGGTCAGGGACGCAATAATGGAAAAACTTGAAATTTATTTTATTCACCTTTTTACAGACAGTACTTAGGGTTTTATTGTAATAAATAGTTTATTCTGTGTTTACTTAGACTCACATCAGAGGCTTAGGCTTATACTGCACAGTGTGATAACTATTGACACAGTAAACACTTAATATAGAAATTCAAGAGTTTCACCTTACCAACAGTTTTCATTGAACAAATCACTTTTGTATCTTGAGGAATGTCTGTACTGAATACAGTACTCAGTCTGTTCTGAATACTTTAGCAAGACATTGTACTGTATGTACCTTTATGATGATTTACAGAAGTGAAACCTGTATTCCTACTAAAATAACTAAAACACATGTATTCATCTTAATCTCATAGGCCTGTTGTTTGATGCTGTTAGGTATGCAACCACACCTCCTGTTTTTATAATCCTCTATAATGCCTAACTGCTGAACATGAATAATCCTAAATCTTCATTTTCAGAAGTATCTTTACAATAAAAGTGTTATAGGAACAACTTGGCAACCCGAAGCTGAGTTTTGGCTTTTACTGTACTCACGTGTCATGAGACAATTTTAAAAGGTTCCCTACCTTCAGTGTTCCCATGTTTTGTGATCCATACATGTAATACCAAAAGCGCAGATGACAGACCCCAATGCTTGCTGGATAGGGTGTACTTGTTGTAATTATGGCAATGTCCCCTTCTTTTTGAATGGCGGAGTTCACATACAAGAATTTTCCATCTCCCTCTTGTATTGTACAAAAGATAAAATCATACAATATTATTATATTATGTGTTTTATTTAAGAACTGTATATTAAAAAAGAGTTCAATGGAGTTGAAATAAAGATACCTGGTGATTTACGTTTGCTATATTCTAAAGTATTACCTGTTTGATTAACTAAGAAAACTAATGAAGATAAAAGGCTTTGGCAATTAACAAACCCCATTTGAAACCATGCCTTCCTTCAAACTCAGATGACTTGTAATGATAGTTATTGTATTTTAATTACACTATCCATAACAATTTAGATCCATCAAATACAAGAAAGTTCAGTTTTTTTTTTCAAACCCCTGGAGTGAAAAGTCATTATCATCTTTCGGAGAATCATCATTCAACACTTTTGCTGAAAATATAAAGAAACCTCTGCTTTCAGCACATTTAACAGTTCTCTGTACCATGTTAATCCCCAAATTGTATAAGCTAAGACAACTCTAAAATGAGACCAGCTTGTGAAATATTGCTGCCCATCTCCATGGGGAAATTTCTGGCCATCTATTATTAGATACATTTAGTTCATGAAACTCTTAGGTTGATTCCCTCATGAGAATGAAAAGCAAAACCTTGAAACTGTGAAATCCCCCTTTGATATAGCACAGAGCCTGAAAACATGTTCACACTAGCTGAGTATTTATTGCTAGCCTGCTTTAGTGGAGCATCAGTATAATTTTGAAAGTGAATTAACAGGAAGCCACCATATGATCCATACCAAAAGGAAACACATAATGGGAGTATTCTCATTAGGAGAAAGCCAGATAAAATATCCCAGTTTCAAACAAGTGTGTGGGTTCTTGATTTACATTTATAATTTACCTTTACTAATAATTTACTAATAAACACTTATAATAATTCATACTTTTATGGATTTAAACATTTTGATGTGACAAATTATTTTAAAGGTTTATATCATACTGTCAGGGCTCTCCTATTGTAATAGATTTAGATGGCTAACTTAATATTTTGAACTTGAAAGAAACATTCAATTCATATGCATATCTTAAAGCAAATGTACATTAGCATAAACCCCACATCATATACCACTTCATTTGATTCTCAATAGTTTCCAGAGAGTAATGAGATACAGTATATATGCATATAACAGATCCACAGTTTCTGAAAGAAGACAACCCGTACCATACAGAAAGTTGTTAATTAACTTACAATCTCTAAGATGTATGTTATTTAACTTGTTGTTGTTGCTGCCACTGTTCTGCGTTTATGTTGTTGGTGTTTCCTTAATGTTTTTGTATTTGTATTAATACTGTACATGCAAATAAGCATTTCATTGCACTTGTGCATATGACAAAAAACTGAACTGAACTGTATCTGATGTCTGTTGGACATCATTATTACATATGTAGATACTTACTATATACAGCACCTGTTAAAATCTAAAAAGAATACTTAACTCAAACTTTTATAGAATTATAACTCATAACGTAAAATGTTTTGTTAGGTGAAAAATACAAAAGCTCCTTTCAGATCTAACAAATTAAATCTGTTTACAGTAATGTTATGACTTGCTGTACATCTGCAAGTGAATGGCACATAAAGGTTTAAATATTCCCTACTGTAGAATTCCTTGGTCTTACTGCTAATATTCTGTCCACGTTTTTGGATTTTGCTGTTATACATCAGAAACAATTCAGCAAGACATAGCAAGAAGCATGCAGTAAGTGTGTCACAAGGGCTAATGATGAAGAGTGCTAAGCAGAGGAAATTAATTTAAATTTGCTCTGCAGATAGGTGACAATGAAATCTGTCATTGTTCTATAACAAGAACCATTCATCTTAACTAAACAGAAAATTACAAATTCCTTTCTGTGATACAAGACATGAACAGATTTGCAACACAATATATTCATGTTGATAACATTTCCAACTTACCAAATGGGTAAATGGGTAAGGTGTATTTAAGTAAAATATGTAATTTACATAGATTTCTCCTTCCTTAAATCTAAAAAACAAAATCAAACAAAAACAACTATCTGTCTGTATGAAAGTACAAAAAAAAGCCAAAAAAATATATCGCCAAAATCAGATTTGGCTGAGGTTGTTTTGGTTGATTGATGTTTTTCAAGAACTTGGGTTCTGAACCCCCTCTCTAGCAACCTCAGCAATGTCTGAAATGTTCATCATCACTGACTCCACCTTCCTGGAACCCTTCCTTTGTCTTTCTTCATACTTTTAATGTTTTGGACTTATATCACTGTCTTCAATGTACCTTAACCTGTTTTTACACCCTCCTGCTTCTTCTCATCCTTGTCTTCCATTGCTATCCATTAGTAGAATTCCCTAAACCATGGACCTCCAGTCACAAGATCTTCCATCTTTCATTGGAAACCAGTTCACAATTTCAAATTTAATGTAGTGATTTAATTAGTCTGGATTCTGTGGAGTCTGGATTATTGTAACATTGAAATATACTTATGAAGCTAAAAAGGCTGATCTTTTCAGGATCAAGGCTTGAGGACACTTCTGTTAACAAGTAGGAAAGCAGTGTAGTTCATATTCAATTGTTAGTTAAACTTTTTAAATGTACCATGCTGAATAAACTAATGAATAACCCAGAATAGTGCACATTGCAGAGAGTAAACCGACAGCCTCAGAAAAATAGGGAGGAAAAATATTTTTTCTCTCTGTAAAATTCTGGATTATTTCTTGAAACCTCCACAGAGAATCAAACAGAGCTAATGAAATAATCTATTTACACAAACTCTCCAACCCCTACAGTACAATGGAATTTGAAATGGGTTATTATTATTTTATTAAAAAATTAGTTTAATGCACACTCATATAAGACAAAAAAACAGAAAAATGGAAAGAAGCTTGCTAAATGTACTGTACATGTTGTTCTATACAGATTCCTATGACCTACTGAAATGTTTCTTGAATTCTGCTGAAATCATCTAGTGAGGTTAAAATTGTGTAGCCATAATGAAGAATTACATAGAGAATACAGAGAAACAACAGCCACCTTTGTACTGCAAGTGAATTACATATGCCTTTTAGGAACACAACAGCAAGTTAAAAGAATAACTTCATTTTAATTGTTCTTCATTTTCCTCCAATATTCTTTTAAAACTAGATATCTTCCTGTGCTTCTTCTCTGTTGTTTTCTGTATGTGGATTACCAAAGCAATACAATCAGACAACCTACCATTCAAGATACTGTTTTTGTAAACTGGCTTTTCTTGCAAGGGGAAAGTCATTGACAAGTTGTTCAGGCTTAATCAGTATGCTAACACAGAGGCTGGCAGCTGCTTGTCAGCAAAGAAAAGGTAGCTAAAATAAAGCCACAGTGTAATCAAGCACAAGAGCCATTGTAGAAATGTTCTGAGAGGAGCCATCTATAAAATTGCTTTTGCCACTGAATAAGGCAGGACCTGGGAAGAGTAATTATACAAAGCTGCTACAGGCTTCTGTCCCTTATATAATCCATATGATTGTGACCTTAAATCCTCCTGTCAAAGAAAAACTGTCCTAAATTATCAATTATCAGTTATACCTTTGAACACTTAACTATTGATGCCACTTTAGTATGTAATTATGGTCAAGTATAAAAATGATAATGAGTTTTCAAAAATGCAAGAAAAAAGTATAGATTTAACATTTTTCATTGTCTGTTTTCCTGTTATCATTATTATATCCTAATATTATTGACAATTTGTTTATCATATAATTGTATGTTTTTTGAAGTACTGGGGTGAACTTTGGTATCAATGACTGCTGCTTCAGGAGAGTCACTTGGAAGAGGTTTCACTGTGTATATTATTCTTAGGCTGAAGCATAGTGAGTCACTGATGGAGCTGGGGGATCAATCCAGACACCACTTCAATGTAACACCCATGGTAATTACTTAAACCACTGGATAGCCTTCATAGTTTACCACATTCTCCTGGCTCATAACATTTTAACAATCTTAAAATGATGCACACCATTACAGTGTAAACTTAAAAGGAGATGCACCAAGCATGCTTGCCAAAATAATAACTTCCCCTTTTCTCTTTCTTTCATGACTTTTGTGGATGCCTTTTCTTTTTTGAACAATTATCCATCCATTCTTTAACCACTTAATCCAATTCATGGTCGTGTGGGATCTGGAGCCTGTCCCAGCAAACAATGGGTGCAAAGCAGGACACACTCTGGACAGGATGCCAGTCCATCTCAGAGTAAACACACAGACACAAACACACAAGCTCACACCATGGTCAGTTTTCCCAGAAGCCAATTTATTGTACCTACTACTGCTGTATGTGTTTGGACTGTGAGAGGAAGCTGGAGAACCCAAAGAAACTTTATGCAGATACTATAGCACCCCAAGTCTGGAACTGAAGCCAGAGCCCTATTGCTATGAGGCAGCAATGCTAACCATTGTGCCACCATGCCACACCTGAATATTTATTTTTCTTTCAATACAACAAAATACAGTTTATCCACCCAGTCAAAGTTCCTTAGATATTTTAGCACCATGACATGAACAGTGTTATGTCTGAAGACTGATACTGTACTCACTTTGGAACAGTCACTGTAAAGGAGTGTTCCAGGGCACAGCCTCACAGTCACAACAGTCAAATTCAAAATCATGTTAGTTGCATAAAATCAATATAGAATTTCATATTCTAGAATACTCCAATAGGGAGCTGGGTGTGCCTCCATCAAATTGGGAATGGAAAATTGAGCAGGCTGTTGTAGTCAAAGATGTCATCAAGACTAGGGGCTGTGAACCTATCTCTTGTGAGGACAGGGATTAACTGCAAATCAGTGATAGCTTATGAAATTATTGCACATTTTGAAGAAAACTTAAGAAGTTAACTTTCCTTCAAAAATTCTAGTGAGTTTCAAAATGATTCAAAAGGAAGACATACTGTAGCTTAGAGGATAAAAAAAAAGAACCTGGAACCTAATTATGTTAAAACGTCCTCTTTTATAATGCAAAATACCAGGCACCTTATAGCTAATAAACAA